AAAAAACTTTGTAGCTTTCTTTCTTCCTTTCTACGCCCAGCGTGACGTGATCTCTTGCTTTTCTTAGCTGAGGAGCATTGAGTGCTGCAAGAGAACAAAAGAACTGAACTTAACTGAATTTCATAGTTCTTGAAAAGACACTGAAATCTCTCCTCATGCATACACGCATCCTCTGCATTGTTTCACGAGGATCAGAGTATGGTGGCGGGTATATGAGGCGGCGAGAAAAGTTATGAACTGCAGCATAGTATAGATTGCTTGCAACGAGGGTCCTCGGCTGTATTCAGTGAGAGACGCGAGCTGCAATGGAGCTGAAGCTCAGGTTAAATGTTTATAAAACCTAGTGATATTCTATACAGTACAAATTCAGTCTGACACCTGCATATCACCGGCCTGAGAATGCAGAGAGAAAGCTGTATAACGCTTTCTCCCCCCCCCGTACATGACGTGCTACAGGGTATCCCCACGAGCATACATAACCAAGCTGCCTTCGCTGCATGCAATGATACTGAATACAACTGTTCAATACTCAGTATTCAGAGTGCACTCAACTAGAAAAACACGAACTAGATATGCAAATCATTCTACATTGCCGCAGGTCCCGCACGGTAACCCAAGCCGCGAGCATGAAGCGCAATGAATGCTCCACTCTGCATGCACTATCGNCAGGTCCCGCACGGTAACCCAAGCCGCGAGCATGAAGCGCAATGAATGCTCCACTCTGCATGCACTATCGTTGTATATAATTGTTGAAAGCTTACTTGGCCTTCAATATTCAACCTGAATATAAGTAAAAAATATGAAATTCAACTTTTGCCAGCCACCGCTCACGGACGAGCACTCGCATTGAGTGCAGATCGACGGGCACCCACGACGAACAAAATAGAGAACAGATAAATAAATTAATTTATCATTGTCTATAAAGTTGTATATGGAATTTATTTACCGTGAATACTATAAATTTCTTTCTCTTTTTGCATGCGTATACCCAGCCGGCAGGATCAGCACACTGCAGCAGTCGGCGCATTGCGTTCGTTCCTGCGGTTAGTTGCAGCTCCTGTTGGGTGGCCTCGTGAGCTCCTTTTTATTTATGCTTTTTTATGGATTGATATGTTTAAATTTCACGTTTTCTTTTTGCATTAAAACATTAAATGACACCTGAATAAGGGGCTCGAAATGAGTGCAGTTGGTCGTTTCCATGGTCAGCAACCCCTCACTGATCCTCTGCCGGGATCTGCATCTATTCTTCTTCTCGTGCGATTGAATGCATTTTGATTTGTCTTCGCTTTCTTTTTTTTAGTTTTCTTATAACAGCTACGAGCAGCGCTTCGTGGCTCTGCTGTCCCCAAACAGGCCAAAGGACGCAGTGTTGGGGGCTCCTCGTCTGGCATTCCGTGCTGATCTTCCTTTGCGTTGCCTATGAGGGCNGCCGTCTCGATCCTCAGCTGTTGCTCGGCGCGCTTTGTCCCGGCTTGCTGTTGCACTAACCTGCAGCAGTATCTTGCATTCATCTTTTTTGCTTTTCGTTGACGAACAGCCTGAGGTTTTAAATTATATAAGGCATTGAATATAGACTCAGTTTAAATACGAAATCCTCAAAAAATATAAATTTATTGCAATGGGCAGCCTCGATATGACGGATCACAGCCTCAACAGTACCAACGATGGGGAGGCGCTGCCTGTTGTACCTCAGGCCCCTACCGTTGGCTTTTCCCCTTATGAGGGCAGTGCAGTAAGGATTAGACTCAACAGAGAGCCGCTGCTGCATGCAGTTCTCTCACTGACTGCAGCAGCACTCGTCGCATTCCTCCTGCTGCGCTGCTACAATTTGATCCGCCGTAGGGCCGTCACCTGCTGCCAAGACGATGAGCCAGGGGGGGGCCCCTCGGGGGCCCCCAGGAGGCTGGCCGGGGGGGGCGGGCAGGGCTTTGTACCCCCAGTGGATATGTGCAGCAGCTCGGATGAAGAGGATGAGTGGTATGATCCCGTTTCCTCTGCGGAGTCTTCAGATGCAGAAGGGGAAGAAGAAGAGGTAGGAGAGAGAAGAGGAGAAGAAGGAGGAGGAGGAGGAGAAGGAGAAAAGTCAGAGAGCAATGACGACGGGTCTTCTCTTCCGTCTACCTCTACCACCTCTTCACACCCAACCAGTGCAGGTACTAGCCAACCTGCTGATGAGACAGAAGCAACTGGAGGCGACGGTGGATCGGGGGGAGCNCCAGTGCAGGTACTAGCCAACCTGCTGATGAGACAGAAGCAACTGGAGGCGACGGTGGATCGGGGGGAGCGGAGCAGCAGCAGACTGGACCCCAGCCCGGTCTCTATCCTGTGCCAGTTCCTCCTTCGAGCCCCCCCAGATCCATAGGGGTTATTAGTTTAACTAGTCCCCCCCCACCTGAACGGCCGCCGGGGGCCTCCTCCACCGTAGCTCCGGGGCCTCAGGGCCCTGCGGGGGGCCCCTCAGGGGCTGCTGCCTCTTCTGCTGCTGGGGCTGAAGCTCCTTCTGCTGCCGCTGCTGGTGCTCCTGGTGACCCTGGCGACAGAACACGCCGCGTGCCGTATGCCTATACACTGCAGCGGCCCGGAGGTAATGTAGGGCGTTCAGCATCGGGGGTAGACGGAGGGACCATGGGGGTCCTGAGGGAGTGGTACAGAGCGCATCAGCGTTCAGCTCCCACTTCTGCTCGTTCTGTTACTGGTGTTTCTTCACGCCAAGCATCTCTCCAGGTGAGGAATCCAGGGAGAGGAGGCTTCGGCTGGCCGGGAGCTGGCTATACAGTACAGCACCCTGCGGGGTCCGGAGGCAGCCAGCAAGGGGGCGGAAGGGGGGATCAAGGAGTACCGGGGCAGCAGAGGCCCCTCGATGCTCTCCACAGCCCCTACCAGGCCTCAGTGCCAGGCAACACAGGCGGGAGAGGAGGAGGGGCCCCCGGTCGGCCTGTAGGGTACTACGCACCGCAGCCATCTTCGAGTGCTGCCACTCAGGCAGGGATCCAACGCACAGAAGGTGGAGGGGATGCAGCAGCAGCAGTAGGAGCAGCAGGAAGAGCAGCAGCAGCAGCAGCATCAGGAGCATCAGGGCCCATGCCTCATCATCCTGTCAGTGGTATCGCGCGGCCGTTTTACCCGCCGTTCCCCTCGAGCCGAGGGCAAAAGGCGAGCAGCTTGCCGAGGTCACTAGTGTTGCAAGGGCCCGTTGCTGTTGCTGGTGCTGCTGCTGGCGCTGCTGCTGGTGCTTCTGCTTCGCGTCCTGGGGCGGATGCCGCTCCCAGTCGTGGTGCTGCTGCCTCTGGGCCTGGCGCTGGTACTCGGTATCGTGGTGCTGCTGCGGGCGACGGTGCTGCTGCTCCTAGGGGTGACGCTGGTGCTGCTGCTCGTGGCCGTGGTGCTGCTGGCGCAGCTGGCTCTGAACCTAGTCCAAGTGCTTCTGTAGCGGCTCCTGCTGCTTCTGGCCGTGGTGCTGCTGCTGCTGGTCCCAGTGGTGCTGCTGCCGCTGCGGGTGGCGCTGGTGCTGCTGCTCCTCCTCCTCCTCCTCCTCGTGTCTCTTCTGCTGTTTCTTATGCAGGTGGTTTTAGTGTTCCTTCTTCCTATGGCCGCGGATCGGCTGCTGTTAGCTCGCGTTTCATGGATGCTGGGGGTGCTGGCTCGGGTCCTTCAGCTGCTTCTGTTTCTCGTTCAGCTAGTACTGGTGTTGGTGCTCGTTCTGCTGCTGCTGCAGCTTCAGCTGCAGCTGGTACTGGTTCCCCTCATCGAACTGCTTCTGCAGCTGCAGCTGCTGCACCTGGTGGAGCTCCTCCTCGTCCTCCTCCTCCTGGTGCTTCTGTTTCTCGCAGTGGCAGCGGCGCTGGTGTCAGTGTTCGTGCGCCGCCCCGGCATATGATGACCTGGTTTATTGGGGGAGCAGGCGGGCAGCCTCGCGCCCTGGGGGATCCATCCTTACCCACACCCCAAAGAACACCAGGGATACCTCCTCCTGCTGCCGCTGCTGCTGCTGCTGCTCGTGCTGCTGCTCCTGCTAAGGGTCCGCCTATGGGTGCTGCTGCTGCGTCAAGAACGGACGCACCACCAGAGCGCCCCAGCGGCATTCCGAGGGCTATACCTGCAGCAGCGCAGCCTCCTGCTGCAGCTGCTTCCGGCTTCAGCAGAGGCGGCAGCGGCAGAAGCAGCGGCAGAAGCCGCAATGTACCCGTTGCTCGTGGGCCTGTTCTTACAGTGCAAACGGCGAAAGCTGCAGGCGGAGGAGC